ATTTACAGATACATACATACAGTGTGCACTCTTCACTCATGACTCATGACTCATCTCATACCTTTTCATGTTACAAATTACAAATGTTACATGATTCCATGATCATGTCTTGAGAGGATCATGAATCATCAACATGTAACATTCAACAACCATGCAACGGTAAGCCTCACGTAAATTCGGCCCAGTAGCGCGTTGGAGAAGCTGATTGCACCACATCTCCTGGCACTTGACAAAGAAGAACGCCACCGTTTGCTGCGCCTGCACAGGGCACATAATTGGTATTCATGATTCATTATTATTAATATTAATATATTATATTATTATTATTATTCAGCATTGTTCACGAATTCAATCTACCAAGACACGATATGAATCGATATGAAGATACTATAACTATAACTGACGATAATTAATATAAGTTATAATTCATAATGATAATTGATAATGATTCCAGTCCACATCTGAATCATGTCCAATCATCGTGCCTTGCCGATAAACGTCGTCGAGCTCCCAAACCAGTACGCCAGGCTCGAAAGTGAAAACGCCACGGGCGAGCTCTTGATGGCGCTGGTCGACGATCTCCCGAACCTTCGAGACACTAAACCCTAAACCCTAAACCCCGAAACTCCTAAACCCTAAACCCTAAAGCCTAAAACCCTAAACCTAAACTAAAACTAAGACTAAAACTAAACAGACTAAAGCCCGCCTAAACCCTAATGCCTAGACCCTACACCCTACACCCCAAGCCCTAAACCCTCCAAAACCCTAGCTTAAACCTAAACACTAACTCATGACTCATAACTCATAACTTTCACAAGACTAGCACTTAGTGACATACTGGGACATGACGAAAACACTCTGAGCGACGCAGCCCTCAGCACTGCGCTCGGAAGCCAGCGACGGCCAGTGGAAGTGTTGCGGATGTCCACCTCGCGTATTGCGTGATGAGTGGCGTATCTCGCCGCGAGCTTCCTTAGGTGGTGAAGGCACAAAAACAATAACGTGAATCGAACATGATCGGGTGAGTCATTGAAGGAGTAATTCGGAGTAATCGCAAATCATACACGACTACGACAGGTACGACAGGTAAATCACATGACACACGATCGTGTTGCCATCCTTTCCTTTTCAGTTAAGAGGCGCAGACAGCCTTCCCGCAAAGGATGATCTGGGCGCTGCGTCCGCATCTCCTCGAATACAGCAAATGACATCACATCATATCATATGGGCTCATATGGGATCATGAATCTTATCATTGAAAAGTTATAGTTGTCATAGTCATAGTCATAGTCATCGATTCCCATCGAATCATATATCATATGTCATATGTCATATGTCATACACCATATATATCATCACTATCACTACGATCATAATTACTACTATTTATTATTATTAGTAAATATAAATTGTTATTTGTAACTATTAACTTTGTGATATGACATGTGACATAGTCAAATCAAGTCATATCGCATCTGAGTGTCGACTCACGCCGGCAGCTGCATCCAGTCTTTCCACGTCCAGCAGAAGTCCAGCCAAACCAGCCATGGCAACGTCATTGGCATTGGTCTCTCCATGTTTGAATGGGCGTGTGTGTGTGTGTGTGTGTGTGTGTGTGTGTGTGCGTGAGTTCCTTCGCTTGTTTGGGGCTTGCGGCGGCCGAGCTCGACACGAAAGAAGTGTACCACAACCGCAGGCAACGAGCCCAAAAAACTTACGCTCAGGCTCAGACTTTTGACTGACTTTCGTATTAGTTAGGGTTTAGGGTTTAGGGTTTAGGGTTTATAGGCTAGGGTTTAGGGTTTAGGCTGCGGCTTAGGGTTTACGGGTTAGGGTTTAGGGTTTACGGGTTAGGGTTTAGGGTAAGTTTAAGGTATTTATAATTTATTTATAAGGGATGAGTTCCTTCGCTTGTTGGGGCTTGTGGCTGTGTTGCGGCTGCGGCGGGCTCGGCACGGAAAGTGTACCACAACCGGAGGCAATGACTTCGGTTCATGATTCATGCTTTGGACTTACTTACTCATTTTTAGTTGCTTTCAAGCGTCTCAGACCTCGTTGATGAAACTGATGGAAATAAACGCGGCAACCTGGGATTTGACAACTTATCAGTTATCAGTGATCACTGTGATCACCTCAAATTCGGCACATACAGCACAGAAGCGGTCACAATTCCAAACCAAATTGATCCAAGAAACACAGCTGCCGCAGCATCAAGCCACGAGAAGTCCACGGGGCCAGAGCAGTCTTCTGAACTTCTATGGTAAACCCCAAACCTAAACCGAAACCCTAAACCGCCTAAACCCTAAACTAGAAAGTGCTGGCAGGAACAACCAGGCTGCATCTCGCACACGCCCCCACTCGTCCACTCGCACGTTTCCACCCGTCCACTCGCACACACCCACCCGTACACCACACGTCCACTCGTACACCCCCACCCGTCCCCCACTCGTCCACTCGTGCGCCCCCCACTCGTCCACTCGCACGCCCCCCACTCGTCCACTCGCACGGCCCCCACTCGTGCACTCGCGCGCCCCCACTCGTCCACTCGCACGTTTCCACCCGTCCACTCGCACACACCCACCCGCACACCACACGTCCACTCGCACACACCCACCCGCACACCACACGTCCACTCGTACGCTCCCACCCGTCCCCCACACGTCCACTCGTACGCTCCCACCCGTCCCCCACCCGTCCACTCGCACACCCCCACCCGTCCACCACCCGTCCACTCGCACACACCCACCCGTACACCAGACGTCCACTCGTACACACCCTACACGTCCAAGACGGGGGCAGAACCACAAGAATCATCGTTTACAGGGCCCTCGATTGAGATAACATATGTATGTCACGTCTTTGCATTCTGCGCAGCTGAGAGGAGCGAATCTGCTGCCAGGCCCGCCAGCTCGTCCCGTGGACACCCCACTCCGGTGTTGTGGAGGAGGTCAGAACCTCATGCAGTTGATCGTCGTCCAGTGGAATGTCATGGCCATGACCCTGTAAGGCTCTGATGTAGATTTCGCCGTCTTCCTCTGAGGTCATCTGCTCCATGCGGACCTTCTGTGAGGTTTCCAGTACTCGCTGTACTTCATGAACCGTCACTTCAGCCCGCCAAAATTGCCTGGAATTAAGAAGGCTTTTCAAGTTGGCATAGCCAGCAGCGTCTAGCGAAATGCCATACTTCGCTGGGTCATGTCTGAGAGCCTGTGTGAGGAGCTTGCCTATCATCACTCGTCTGGTTTCGTGAGCGCCCCGTCCAGAAAGCCGATCAAGAGTACCATCCAGATCTGCTAAACTTGGTGTGTGCTGAGTTGTTGGCTGCCAGGCATGCTCTCTTCTGCTTCCCTCTGGCTGCTGTGGGACTTCCTGATGAAATGGAACCTGTGGATCTGTGCCTGCGGCAGCAGCGGCTGGTGACCAAACCCCCCAGGATTCATCACTATCATCTTCGGGCTGATGCAAGGAGGTCGGCAGAGCACTGTGATCAGAGTCCATTGCCTTGTTTACTCTCCAAGGAGGAACTGCGAGCTGCCGGGTGGAGTTATCATCATCGTGAGAGGCTGACTCCTTGGCAGGTTGAGAGGAGGATCTTGGTGGATTTCTGTATGAACTCGGCTCCTCCGGTCTTTCCCTCGCTATGCGTTGAACTGGGGCAGCTTCCGCAAGGGGGTTCCAGCCAGTCTGCACATAGGTCCCCAAAGGCAGTGAGTCTGTGATGTGAAGCAGCAGCGCCTCGAGCTGGACATAGTCTTCCCTGAGAATATACTGATCCGTTGCTTTGGAGCCACGGAGAGATCCTGCAGCCTGGTCGAACGACACTGCGAATTTGGCCGCAACTGCTCGGAGAGACTTGTTGCCTTCTTTCAAGATGGGAAACCATACATGCGTCACATATGACTCTGCCTTGCGCTCATGCTTGCCGGAATGGATGTAGACTCCCGGGTAGCCCTCAAAGTATTGTTCACCTTGAGAGGCATCCTGGGACGGTTGCAACTTTCCCAGATACAGGATCGAGTAGAGCGATTCCAATTTTGTCCCATGATAGCCCACTCTGTCATCCGTGCCAGTGCGTCTCTGAACAACATCTCTTAGGGGGAAGCGCACCCAGCCTTCCTGCATGACAGGGTCTCCCAACTTTGCAGTCAAATCGGAGTTGCTCGGACCTTTACGCGTTCTCAGAAATGTGCGGAGAAAGATTTTGGCCTCCTCCATGACATCCTTAGTCGGATCCAACTGTTCACGCTCCTTGTGACGCTTGTTCCATGCATAGCGGCTCTGAACATGAGTGCTGGTGTTCCAGTCTGATGCCTGCCCGCTGGCCCTCTGATCAAAATCAGGAACCAGAAAGGAAATGGATTCAGCTTGTTCAGGAGCTCTTTCGGAGGAAACCTCCACGGAGGAAGCCTCCGCTCTCGGCAGGAAAGTGACAGGCTGTGAGGACGGAGCTGCCTTGGCCTTCTTACCTCCTCTGTTGTGGTTCGGCTTACGCCGGGCCTGGCGCTGTGCGTCCCGCCAGCTCAGTGGATCCTTGCCTTGTTGCGCTCGCCTTCTATTTAAAGCCTCAAACTCATCATTCGTCAAATCACGTTCCATGTTGAGGGCCTGATCCTATTGGTTTGAGAGAAGCTGCGGCATTGCATTGGGTCAATGAGCGAACTTCAACCAAGCAGCTGGTGGGTGCCCCTACAGAGGAGAAAGCTATTGCCAAAACCTCCATTCTGCAAGAGAACCCGGACAGGAGAGAGAGAACCTAAGAAGGAAGGAGTGGTTGCTTCCCAGAGGGTGAGTGATTGCACTTGCTGTAATTCGGACACGCGTAGGCCGCCGACCGTAGCATGGAGGAAGCCTCCGGAGGAAGCCTCCCGAGCTATGCAATGCGAGTGCGCGCATACAGGCTGGGCTATGATGCAGTGATGGCAGAGGCTTTTGGCTCCCTGGTGCTGAAGACATCTCACACGAGGACTGATTCTAATACAGGCCATCTGAGAAGCTATGTACTAGTACGGATTCTGAGCAGGCCGCCGCTGTGCTCTTGGCCTCACACTGCTCGACGATGGTCCTGGTAGCAAGACTCTGATGCCTTGGTAATGAAGAGTCCAGGTCAAGTAGTCCATCCGTTCAGAGAGAGCTTGGGTGTCGGAAAGACGATAGAGACGCTCGATGTGAGCACCATAGATCTGGGCACTCTGAGCGAGCTGAGTCACCTCTGCATTCAGCTGCCGGACTTGCCCATGTAGTCTGACCTGATCCCGTTGCATTTCCTCGATGAGGCGAGCTTGAGCATCTATAAGCTTCTGGGCTTTACTTAGCGCAGTATCCAGCTCCCAAAGTGCCACTCGATCAGCCTCAGTGAAGATCCAGCCCTCTCTGGCATACATGCGTTCAGCTCGGTATGACATTGACTCTCTATTAGCCAGCTATGGAATGATTACGCGAGCAAGAAAAGCTGCTGTGAAAGAAGAAGAACATGTGCAGCTGAGAGAGGAAGGCAAACTGAGGGACAATCCTGCGCTTATTGAAGGCAGTGCAGAATTTTTTGCCTCTATGTGGAGGGATCGTCTCTAGCTGAAGGTGCTCTATGAGCTAGCTGCTGCCGGATGCCTGCTTTGCAAGCGACTTAGCTGCTGGACTACGCTGAACGCTCCCTGGCCTTAGTGAGCCTTCAATGGCTGCCCAGACTGCATTGTCCGTGAGTCCGGACAGGGCTTGATGGAACTTACCCTTGAGATGTTGGAGTTGGACCTGGATGTGAACTCGAACTGGGCCACCTGTCATCTTCTCAGCGATCGGACGTGAGGGCATGAGCCTAGAGATCAACTGTGGGTGCTGCGCAAGCTCCTCCAAGCACGTTTTGAGCAATTGAACGACGTCATCTGCGAGGACTGCCCTTCGTGCAGTGTCATGCACCGTCTTGTCTTGCTCACTGCTCCACTGCTGGTAGACAAAGGCTGGAGCTTCGGTGTCCTTCACACGCACCACCCAACCCTCTTTCTCCGCATCCACTAGCACTTCTTCTTTGGTCTGGATCTGCTCTACTCTTTCTAAGGTCTGCTCCAAGACCACTCTCATGGCTCGAGTTCTGAACGGAGTAGACAACTTCGAAGCGTCTTTGGACTTCTCCGCATAGATGCTCGGTAGGATGGACAGCTCACCGGTGGTCAGGTACATGACCCAGCTCAGTTCCTGCTGAAGCGTATTCAGCGAGTCCTCATGGTTGATGGACAACCTTGTTAGGGACTGGAGAACTTTCTCATTTGAAACGCCTCGGCCAGTGCCCCGACCCCTTCCTTTGGCTTTCTGCTTTGGCATGTTCTTCGGTTCAGCCTGTCTGATCTTCTTGGTTGGAGAATCATCTTCATCTGGCTCATCCGCACGCTTGGACTTGGAGGGCGCTGACGATAGTGCAAAGGCCTGCCTCATGGCTACCTAGCTGAGTCTATACTCTTACATAGAAGGCCAAGTATGAACCTCGACATATTTGATCCGAGAGGAGCGTGGTGCGTCTTGGCGATTCACTATCATCAGCAAGGTACGCTACGCTCTCTCTCCAGAATCCCGCTCTGTAATGCCCAGAGTTCCAGTCTTCTCCGATATGAATGATAAAAGCATAGAGGCTAAAAGACACTGCTTCTGTTGAGGTTCCGTTATCTTGAAACATTGGCATCTCAAGAACTGTGTCCAACGCTTGTGGGCGAGAAGTTTTGATTTGCTGATCAAATCTTTGAATTTGCAGGCAAATGATTCTTGTACCCGGAAGCAAGGCAAACACACTACCCCTGTTCGTCCATTGTGTGACTGATTGCTGAAGAGTCGAGAGTCCGTCCGGCGGCTCGGGCAGATACAGAATCAAGCCGCCTTTTTCCTCAACACTTATGCGTTCCTCCGGTTCTGAGATATGAACTCGCGCCTCCCATTTATCTGATGAAAGATCTGGAATGCGCTGAGAGATATGCAACAAAAATTGTGATGCATCCTCCTGCCTGGGTCGTAGTCGCCACCCTGCTAGCAGCGGACGAAGATGTCTCAACCTCCGAACATCCGCATGAGAGGATCTGCCATTTAGGGAACCTATTTCAGTTAGGATGGAATTTAAGGAAGGATCAGGGAACAGTCCATCTGACAAGAGAGAGAGAAGGATATGAACGACAGTGTGTGCATAGCAAAGTTGATGCGGATTATGATAAGCTAGACGCCAGGCAGCGTCTTGCACGGAAGCCGTGGGAGGTGCAGTGGCTGAACGACCAGAGACGCTTGCGGTGTGCGTCAGCAAAGATGCTCGGCTGCTGGAGGAAGCCTCCCGGGAGGAAGCCTCCCTGCCTCTCACCTGGCTAATTGGAGGATCTGCACGGAAGAGGTCTGGCAGTTCTACAGACTTGGCACAAGCTGCACTCATGGCATATGTCTGAAGCAGAACCACACATTGCTCTGCATGGCGTACTGGAGCGTCTACCAAAATGCGACAATACCTACATTCCTCTTTTTTGTGCAGGAGGCGCTTATGTGTTCGCATGTTGGCAAGAATGGATTCCGAGGACTGTGCCCAGAAAGCGGGATGAGCTTTCTGAATGTGCTGCTTCACTCCTTTGTGGCCAACAATATATTGCCCACAGAGACTGCAGTTCGTTAATAGATGCTGAGTGACATGTCTCTTTTTTAGTAGAAGGTCAGGGTCCTTCTTAAGTTGTTCCTGCACGCTAGACTGATAGATCATAGCTATGCTTTCTGAACTTGTACAGGATTTGGCTCGTTCTTTCAACTCGTGCAGCTGAGGGCAAATGCCTGACTCCACATGTCTGCGAAGTTGATGCATTGTGCGCAGCTGCCTGTTGCATGCCACACATTGCGGAAGTCCTTTGCAGCTATGCACAGTGACCTGAAATTTTGGGCCTAGCTGATTCGCACGCTGTCCCCCATGCTTCACCAGTGTATGGTGCTGAAGACCCTTGGCGCTGGAGAATTTCCGATCACACAGAGAGCACGGCACCTCCTGGACTGCCTCGGTCAGGTCCAATTGCATGCTCCGAAGCTCCTGTTGCAGCGCAACAATCCTACCTCTAAGTCCCAGATACCACTGTATGTTCTGATCCGGGTTGTGCTTCTGACAGGCATCTAGTGCGTCTTGATAGTTTTTCATCTGGCTGATCAAAACTGCTTGAGGAGTCTGCACCTTATATTGCTCGAACAGAGTCTTCGTGTCAATGTGGCTGTAATGCTGATGTTGCTTAAAGATGGATCTTAGCATCCTCGAGTATTTACTCTGGAGCTTCTGAAGACCTGATGAAGTGATGCCTGTGGCCACAAGCCCATGCAAGAGTGAGGATTCCACATAGACCCTCCAGATCTCCAACTTCTTTGAAGCATCCAGAGCCTTAGTGGAGCACAGGATGTGTCGAAGTAGCTCAAACTTGCCTTGAGCTTGGGCGATCCGATAGTCAACAGTCTGGTCTTTGTAGGATCCATAGCTGAGCTGCACCCCTAGATATGTTAGCTTATGATGAATCGGAATCTTATGTCCTGAGGGAAGGACGATGTGCAGCTGCTTCTCTTTGCGCATCGTGTGCATCTTGCGAAAGATGGACTGCTGTGTGCCCTGAACCATTAGCAAGGCTTTAGACTTCGTTGGATTGACTTCCAGCCCCACGTCCTCAAGAGACTGAAAGAGAGCCTCTATTCTGAGCAGGACTT